TATATATATATATTTTGTGACAGAATAAATAATTTAATCGATGCCGAAAATCGATAGAGAGGTAGAATGTTCAAATAAACACAAAAAAATTTATAGTACCTATGTGAAGTTATGAAATAAACTGCAGCTCAGGGTTTGTGGACTTCACTCTTTACTGAGAAAAATTTCTAGTTGAAAATGGGCAGTAGGTTCTAACAATTCATATCAATTAAAATTCTAATCGAAATAATCAGATGTTCAATTATCAGATTATGAGGATTAGAATTCTGATCAGAATCTACTGATTCGTTCATTTTCAATGTGAAATCTTTCTCAATATTAAAATAGAAAACAACATACACTAAGGTAATCAACTCCTTTATAAGAAAGGAAATTTTTAACAAATAAACATTTTTTTTATAATTGTTAATGAAACACATAAATAATATTACCTATATTATTATATTTGTAAATAACTAATGACACTTAATGTATAACATGAAAGTACAACAAAAATTAAATCAAGTTGAAATCGCATATTATTTTTTAAAATTGTACATTTCCATTGATTGTATAATATTTTATAAATACATTCAACATCTGGGTTTTTAAATTTAAAAAAATCATGTTAGTTGAAAATAATATATTTCACACTTATTATTTTTACACTTAAAAAAGGGACAATTTATAATTATATATCCTTATTTTGAGATGAAATTTAGAATGCGTTGTAAAGTGATATGAAGAGTTAAAATTTAAAACTGTCCCTTCTAATTTGGGACGGTTAATCACTTTAACATACACAGCATAATACAGCAATATTAATAAGAAAATTATTGCGTGAATCCATGTGGGACTTGTCAGACCGCATTATGCCTTTACTCGATCACCAATTCGGAAGAAGAAAAGTAAGAAAAGATCTCGCATTTTTTGTTGGAAAGTGTGCTTCGTAAAGATATTAAGTCAAGAGAGATAAGGAGATAGAAAGAAAGCATGTTGTTCTCTACGTAATTCTATCAACGACGGATTTTCCAAGACGGTGGATCAGAAGGGCACGACTCGTCGGTTGAAATTTTCCTCCACAGGAGAAAATCCCACGTGGGAAAAGGCAGCAAGAAATTCGATCGTCGAGAGAGACCAGATAAAAATATCTTTCACGGGACATTACCGCGCGCGCTAACGCGTATTAATGACTCACCTGTGGCTGCGGGACGCACGTTAGATCTATAATGTCGCCCAGCAGGTCAGGGTCCACGACCCTGATGCCCGGAAGTATGGTGGAGCCGACCGGGGTGTCCTCCTCGGCGACTGCCTCATATGGCACACCCAGGAAGTGCGGCGGATTATCGTTTTCATCCAGTACAATCACATAAGCGTCCACACCGACGATGTTCGGCTGCTGTCCTGCGGGTACCTCGTCCTCCAGAGTCACGCGAAAACGTATTGTATCGTTCTCCTGAAAAAGAGAAACCGTCGGACGTTCGTAAAATGTTGCAAAATCGAGCTCAAAGCTTTGACTTTGGGACTTATTAATATTATACTGTAAACTTTATATAAAGAGGGTTTAGATTTAACTTATAAGAAGGCTGAATGTTCTAATAGTAAGTTTAAGATCGTTAATATTTTTGTCCTTAAGCGTGAAAAAACGTCGTTCAATTTATGTATATTTAAATTAAATATTCAAAGCAAGAGAGCGAACTAATTTTATAATTCGAGGATAAAATTGTACTTAAAGTGGGTCTTACAAATTATAGATTAAATTCAATTTTCGCATAAACTCTAACACTTGCCATACTAATTTCAATCATGCGCCTTGGAAAGATCAAATTCAAGAGAAATCGAGAGTGTATATAAAATCATACATTATCGATTGCTAAGGTCAATTAAAAAAAAATTTCCTGTCGCAAGAAAAACTGCAAAAGACAGTAATATATTGCTCTATAATAGTTGCTTTATACAAATTTTCAGATAATTCTCACTCGTGACGTCATAATTCAGTTGAATGCTTGTTCCTTACTCTAATAAGTGAGATTTAACTGAGTTTTTGCTTATAATTTGCACAAGATCGAGACCGTGTGTTTTAGTGAGTCTCGTAAACTCATTTTAGTGAGGTTATGAACTCGTGTTGTCATGTGATAACTTTTTATCAAAGTAAGGAAATAATGACGTCATTAATCTGAGTATGAAATACTCAGCTCATTTCAGACTCAGTTTAATTTGTGTGTAAGTAGAAAGCAAATGATATGTCCTACGAAATCACAATTGAGTAATTGATATGCAAAAATAGTTATTTATATCACTAATGTAAAAAAAAATTAGGTAAATATTCTTGAATTCCTTAGTTTCCTTCAATTACGAATTGAATATTTTAAAAGTGTGCAAAACAACTCTTATAAAATCAAAAGAAAAATAAGTTAAATAAGAAAAGAAGTTAAAATCTCTAACTAGCTTAGATTTATTAATTTTTTATTTTTATTTTCAACTGTATTTTTTTAAAATAAAATTTGTTTTGCCGATTTCTTCTCTGCAATTAGTATTTTATTTTCATTTAAATTTAACAATAAAAATAAAAATAGAAAAGACGTTATATTTTTCAAATAAATAATTAAATGTGTTTCATAATATAGCAACTTTTTTTATATTAATAGAATAATAAAAATGCTTCAGAATCATAAAAATCCTATTCAATATTAAACTGTTTTTGTATCTATCTAGAAAAGAAAAACGATGAACACTTCAATTTCAAATTTATAATATAATTTATAATTTTAGATAATTAATTTTCAATAAATTATTATATTACATAAATAATTTTTTCATTGTTTTCTATCAATATCTTTATAAATACTTCATAAAATAATTTGTGACTGTAGTCTGTTTGTGTAAGTAAAGTCGTTGTATCTTTGAATGACAGAGATTTCCTTACAGAAATTCGTTTAAAAGCGACAAGGCAAAGTGTTAAATATCCTTTGCCATCGTTCAGATCTTAATACGACATGTATTTTGTATCTAGTAGGTACCTTTGACATCGCATACACGCGCGTGTGTCAGAACACGTGCGATCTCAAACGTGCGCTGAGATCAGGAGCTTCTTTCTCGCGACTGGAATTTTACTGTATCCCTTGTGAAGCCTAGGAAGGCACACGGGTCTCGAACGTGCCTCGATTCATATGTGAGGGAGAACGTCACCGTTTTACGAGATCGATCATTTGCGAAAGTCTTCGTAAGTCCATCCTTGGACCATCTCGAGGAGTTTTCTTCTCTCGACGCGAAGGAAAATCGGAGTTGTCGCAGCAAGTGTGGTAAACGCCCGGCTTTATTGGTGGATTTGTGCGATGGAAACTCCTCTGTATAGGAAGAAAGGAACAAATCCGCCTCTCCTGGATTTCGAGACGTGCGAGTTCTTCCTCTTTGTTGTTACAAGAAATTCGACCATGTTTGATGAATGCATTTTACATTATGTGTATCGTTATATTATTACATAGAAACGTGCCGAGCGTTTGTTCCTCGATGGATAAATTCGTTATTATGTTGGAATATTCCCAAGTTCACGAATATACAGTCGAGTACCGAGACTTTTATTTGAGAAGAGGCGAACGAGTCAAGTCCTAATATTGAAAAAACAGTTCCAAGTCTGTATCTTTAAACGACTTTTTAAAAGTTTCGTAGACAGTTTCAAATCTCTGCAAAGTTTGTCGAAAAATGGTAAGAAGAAAGGCAGCTTCGAAAATACGAGGTGTTTCTTCGTAAAATAATAGAAAGGTAAATTTTTTTTCTAATTAATTCTGATAAATGAATATAATTAAAGAAACAAACTATTTTTATTATAATCTTATGTTTTAAACGGACAATGAAAATAATGTAAAATCAAGAAATATAGCAATTTTGCTGAAAATATCGAAACGCTCGAAGAGTTCAGCGAGAAAAAAAAAAGAAATACTTACAAAGGCTGCGAAGTGTCGCAAGAGTAGATATCGCTTGCATGGAAGTTTGAAAAAGACGGAAAAGTGGGTAGCACCGAGGGTTTAGTAGCAACTAATGAGGTCGAGGGTGGAAAGATGGTACTCAAAGTTCTTGTCAAGTGTGTACGTGTACCCAATTGCGCATGCATTAGAATATATACATATTTACGCGGTAGATAGTCTCCCAAAGGCGTCATAGCAATGGAGAACAATAATGGCGAAGTTAAATTTACTTCTAATATATTACAGTGCAAATGCAGATACGAATTCTCTTGTCGAAATCGACCGTGTTCTTGGTCGTTACGAAAATTTAAATAAACGAAGAATCTTTTACTTAAAATTACAAAAGAAAATCATTTGCAGCTAGATAATTTGCTGTATAAACTGTATTTATGTTTTATATTTATTATGAAATATCACTTTAGGCGATCTGATTCGTATTCATAATTTTATATTTACGCAAGAATGAAAAAAACATTTGAAGTATCAAAATACACACGTATGTAAAATATATATTAAATATATTAAATATATTAGGTGTAGTAAAAAGAAATCCATATTTTTTCCATTCAATTTCATGCAAAAATAATGG